CCCCCCCCCCCCCCAAAAAGACATAACGCATCTGTGCAGTATCCAAGGGCTGGAAGAGGTGACATTATATAATTGGACATTTCCTTGAACACGTCATCAGATTAAAGCGACTTCCGAAGTTGTCCAAACTATGCCTGCATCATTTTGTGGAGGGGTAGATGTGCTGTGTTTTACCTCTGAGGGGCAGAGGGCAGGCGGCCAGCCTTCATCAGGGGACTCTGAGACAGAGCGTCTGTCATCCAGGAGAGAGCGCTGCAGCAGTACTCCAGCTGAGAGACACACACAGATGAGCTGAGGGGAAACCAGAGCCACCATGCACACATACTACACACAAATATGAACACATGTTCATTTACCTGCACATTCCCACAGATTATACACAGTGAAACAAAGCACTCCAACTGTGTTCGGAGTTTTTCTTTATAAAAATACAGCTAGTAGGCGGCAGACTCAACCAGTAAAACTACATGTACAAATGGAAAATGTGTAAAATGTTTAGTTCTCTGTCTGGGTTACAGAAGCCTTTGAGTTGATTTTTAAGTAAAGAGAAAACTTTGTTGTAAGAAGTAAAGTTGTAAGAGAAAAAATTTAAAATTCTTAAAAATCACTCAAAATGTTCCAAAAACCTATATTATTGATCTAGTGTACAAGATATTGCTGACCTTTGTCTCCAGAAGCTGCAATCTTCTGTCATGGTCACGTAGCTCTGTCATTTGCTTTAGCACACTGTCGACCCTGCAGAAACAAATACACACAATTAATCCCTCTGCAATCTCAGCTTGAATGTCCCAGTTAAGATCAGTTCAACACGATGAAATCACAAAAAAAAAAAGTAAAACTTAATAAGTATATATATATATATATGGTATATAGATGTATATATCTATATAGCATCGTTTTCCTCTCGTTTGGCTGTTGGAGGAGAGACTTTACTGAGTTAGGTTTGATTCTTGGAAGAGCCCCATTGTCTAGTCCTGATGAGGATGCGCTGAACCTATTTGTTTGTTAAAACCTGGGGACGGATGCTAATTGCCGTCCTTTATGGATTTCTCCCAATTTTATCCCCAAAGAGTTTTTTTGGGGAGTTTTTTCTCCTGTCAGGTAGTAGATGACCGATTGAGGCAAATGTCTTGAGTATAGGACCACAAGCACTGTCTTAGATCATTTATGATGTGTTTTAATTAAAGCAAGTGCAAGTTGACTCTTTTGATTCATTGTTTCTGGCCGGGACGAGAACAAAGGAGTCAGGCCTCCTTCGAGGGCTTTCCGAACCCTTAACATATGTCACTTAAAACAGTTATTGGCTAAACTGCTCCTCAGACCCGCCTCCTGGGGGCCATATCTATGTGTGCCCAATTACTGCCAAGACATGCAGACAGGCGGAGAGGACGTTCGGGATAAGCATACATTTTGCTCATATAACACTGACTTGGTGAACTGGGCTGGGTTATTTGTCTGCAAGGTCTTCAACTCAAATTGTTTTGTGCATCCCAGGAGAGGATCCCAGGACGTCTCCTGGACGTCTTGCTCTAGAGGTATTACCAGAGGCACATCCATCTGGTAAGAAACCCAGACCATGTTGGGGATTTGACATATCTTGTCTGGCCTGGGACCATCTCGGGGTCCCTCCGTATGCGGCCCCTCAGGAGGAGCTTCACATGTTTTGATAGTTCTATGCTAATATATTGACAGGGTTTTATACCCACTTTTCTTTTGTCAGTCAAATTGAATTGCATATAACAAATGGTCGGATTTAACCTTGAGAACCAAAAAAAACACTCATTGGTTCTACATTAAAAAAATTCACAATAAGAGATACAACTTACTTGACAGATGTACTTTTAATTCGTACTGTGTCGCTTTCTCTTTTCCGCTTATTCTGAGCTGAGAGGAGGTTTTCTTTCTGGATAGCCTCCCATGCGTCGAGGCAGCTGGCTTTCTTGCCCAGCAACTCTAGAACTGAGGATAGAAAAGCTCAGTAAAGAAACTGGAATACGGGTCACTGGTCTTCCTGTGAGCCACTTTTGATAGATTGAACAACTTAAAATGGATCATTTCAATGAGAAGGAACATGTTTCTGTTCTAGTTGTAGCTATCTGAGCAACATCTTTCTTGGCTACAGAGGGAGCTGGACTTTGTACCAACAGTAGCCGTAATTCCTCTTCAATGAATTAACAACATCTATAGTGAATGGGCCAACTCCATTATCCAACCAGTACTCATGCAACAGTTAATTCAAAACGGTGCATGTCAAAACGTCTTCTGGGGTTTTATCTTTGGTTGTCTCTACTGAACCTTGATAAATTGTTGTCCTCCTTTTAACCATGTCCTCTGTCTTCATGCTGTACTTCTCACCAAAGTGTTTGCTTTTGACTGAAGGGATCTGGCGGAAGCATCTCTTGATAAAAAGGTGGAGATGTGAAATGATGATGAAGGGTGGGGCCAGGCAGGGTCTTGAGTGGTACTCCTTAATCAGGTTGTAACGCTGAAACTTCCAATAGGTGTCACTGTGTTCTTGTACCTTTGAGAAGGTGTGGCTGTAAACAGTCAATATAAATGTCATTATGCATATACAGAGAACGGTTTCATCAGAACAACAGCAATGGAACTCAATTGGAAACAACCATTGGAAATGAAGTTGTACCTGAACATAGCAATGAGTAGGTTGACCAATACTATGTTAGTAAACAGTAGGTAGATGGCAAGAAGGATGACAACCAGCCAGTTGGCGTAAGTGCTCATACAGGGCTCCGCTCCTGCTTCAACGAGTGTGGCGTTGTTTGTACAGGGTATTTCCACCAATTTATCAGCTAGATGGAGAAACAACAAAAAGGCCCATTAAAACATGAGGATGCTTGCAGCCCATTTAGTTAAACAGAAACTATGAATGGCAGCAAGAGCTGACATCCGGCAGAAGGCAGGGTTCACCTTGACTACTTAGTCAGACTATGGCAGGGCTGACACATGGAGACAGACAACTATTCACTTCCCATCAGTCACATCTACATCTATAGGCAATTTAGTCATGAATTAACATAAAGCTGCATGTCTTTGGACTGTGGGAGGAATCCAGAGAAGACGGAGAGGATCCACTCAGGCACAGGGACAACATGCAAACTTTATTGACATTGAGGGAACCAAAGGTAATTATGTCGACAGAGATATTGCTGGTATATTGAGTTGGTCACCATCCATCTCATGTATGGGTATTTGTCCAAAGATGTGGAGGTATGGTCTGTAGAACACCCTGCGGAATATCCAATCAGGACGCGGATCATACGCGTAGAGGAGTGCCTGATTGGCTACTCCATAAGCCAAGAGCCAAACAGCCAGAAAGAAAAGGAAGAAGAAAACATCCTTCATCTGCAAGAAGCAAAGAGAGACAAGAGACAGATGATGTTGTGAGGTCACAAATACGAGTTTTTCATTTTATCAACCATCATTAACAACAGAAGGAGGGGGAGCACTCAGGTCAAATCTATTTTCATAATCTCTGTCCTTAAGACAAATATGAGTGCAGAAGAAGAAATATGTAGAAGCTATCCATGACAGATATGTTTTCCGGAGAGTTCTGCGTAATCAAGTAGGAACATTTGAACAAAGCCAATGCCAGCTATGAGAATCTGGTAGGTTTATACACAAGGTTTTGCTATTGATAATCAACAAAGCTTTGTCTATTGAATTTGTGCCCTCATTATCTTTTTCACGTTCACAATATTACATATTTTTTAGTTCTGTGTGAACTCACCATTTTGCCAACGATGATGATCTTGGGCCCAAGCTGTTTGTGGACGGCAAAGATATGGATCAGACGTAGTGTGAAGACCATAAAATCTATGGCCATGACGGCTCGGCCAACCAAGTATGACCAGGGAAACATTCTGGAAAACAAAACCGAGCATTCCTTGGTAACATGTCACACAATATAGCCGCCTTTATTATGAACTTTTACATCCAAATACATAATAAAATATATTGACATAGTATCTGCCTGTCCTCTAGCCTTTCATTGTTTTGTCGTACTTCTGCTCCGGAGCTCCAGCTACTGACCTGTATCTCATCCTATCAACCGTGGCTCCCCCACTAGTCTTCTTCAGAATTATCTACTACTGTTTTATCTACTACAGTGTAGCCATGTTCTGAGAACAAAATGTCACCTGCAGCACACAGCCAAGATGAAGAGAGTGATGGCTGTGAGGTCACACTTGTTCCACACATCCTCGATGTAGCTCCTCATCCTCTGGAGCACAAAGGTGCTGCCCACAAAGAAGGTCTGTGAACCGGAGAGGAGTTATGGATGAATACGTTGAAAGGCTCAGCAGACACCAAAACACTGCAAAGCCTTTTATAACCACTGTAAACAGTTAATCTGCGTGGCAATCAGAGTGAGTATAATATTGTCTTAACAACCTACCTGACGAATTTCTTCGCACACAAAGGTGAAAACCCAAAAGTAAAGCACGACTTCCAGAGTGGACGGGCCGTCAGGGGGCGGGGGCTTAAAGTCCACCAAAAGAACATAGGCAAACAGGTAAAGGAACAGGAAGTACATCAACACGTTGCCAAGGAACGAGGTAACAGGGCTAAACCAGAACTGTCTCCAGCGTGACACAATAAATGGTCTCTTGGAGTTGGATGGCAAAGAACCTGAAGAAAAAAGAAGTGATTAAAAATGATTCAAAAAAGTTAACAACCATTCAGAAAAAGATATTACCAAATACACTCAGTGGCTAACCCCAAATTTACTTTTCCCCTACATTTCCTCTTGTGTTGTCTCGGGCTCTCAGATTGAGAGGGAGAGGGAACACACATCAAGGTGTTTATTGTATAAGGTGATTCAGATTAGGTTCTAGAGAACTACAGACCTCAAACTATTATGAATACAGCCTGTAAGATAACTGCTCAAATAATTGTCAATAGTTTACATTTTAAGTTGGTAAAATTATTGATGAGGAACAATTGTGCCGACAATTTGTTCATATTAAAATATTTTTACATATACCAGAAAAACCGATTTCGATGTTGTCAGAAGAAACTATTTTTATTATGATATGATTTTGATAGATCTCCAGAGATTACCCTTGGGCTGTAATAAAATCATACAGCTTCCCTCCATGTAGTGATGTCTGTTAGATCATTCCGTGTGAATGTAAGTGGAGTTTTAGTTGCCTTTCAAGTAGAGAGACGAGTGAAGCAGGGCTGTCCTTTAGAGGACAGCGATTTAAACGTCCTCAAACTGATCTTGAATCCCCCCCCCCCGGGGGATCAATAAAGTACTTCTATTCTACCTTGTCCTTTTATTTGCAAAATCAACTCATAACAACCAATCTTAGGTACATATGGTCACGGTTACAACCTTTGCTAACGCTGATGCCGATGGATGCATTAACTATTGAGTTAATTAATTAAATTAAACTACAACAGAACAGAGAGTTCTGTGAGCAATGTGACACTTTTAATATTGAGATGAGAGTGAATCAAGAACTCAAATACTGAGTTTAACTTTTTGTGAATTAGAAAGTAGTGAGCGGAAATGGGGAGAATCAGTTGTAAAAATTAAAGAAGAGGTAACAAATGGGAATTTTAGACTTTGATCTTATCTAAACAGAACAACTAAATGATGACCCAGTTCAGAATACAGTGCGCTACTTTGGGGGTCCATAGGAAAGTGACTAAAAGATCACTTAGATCACTAGAAATGGTCCACTGTTGTCTCAGCACCTGGGACAGAGGCCGCCAGGCTCTCCTCAAGAACTCGTTACAAGAGGCCGGCGGATTGGCCAGAAGTTATGGTCATCTACACGTGACTTTCCCCTTCACCTGGAGTCACCCAGGCTCGGGTGACGGTCTGTGGGTCACTTCCCAATCGCACAAGTGATTAACCCTGTGGCCGCGGGGCTCAAGCTCCTGAGACATGAGATTTCATCCCACGTTCTGTGTGCCCGGCTAAAGCCAGCCAAGAAGAGCACTTTGGAGCTCTATTCAGTTCAGTTGTGTATCAACTGTGTTGGCTGGTTCTCCACCACAGCTCTGCTGCAGCGATCCATGTGGTAAAGTGTGTGAGCAGCGAGCACGATCAGTGTTTGCGGGTTGATCTTGTAGGAATTTTTTGGACGGCGACAAAGACTAAGAAGATCATAACAGTTATTGGAACCCCTGGTGGATCAAGTTTGAGCCCTCCAGCAAGGCGGCCCTCTTACTCTATACGCTGCATGCTTGGTTTAGGATAATCGTGTGTGCGGTCTTACACCCTAAATGGGCTGCACATAATACAGTAGGAATGTCCTAATTTGCTAACCACAGTACTCAAATGCATCAGAAATGAGAAACATTCATTTGCCAAGTATGTTGGACATACGTTGTCATGGTGAGTGGAGGAGAGAGTGACTGACAGCTCTGCCTATGCTCTTATAACCAGAGGTAGATATTATAACCTCTGTTAATCTCTGAGACCATTTTACTCATAAACAACACCCTGGAGTAAATCCTTCAATTGGCACTTGCACAAACCATCACATTGCACAGTAAGCGTTGTGGTCCACAGATGCCGGTAAAACTAGCTCTGCAAAAAGTAAAGATTCAGTCCTGAGGTCACCAAATCAGACACTTGTTTCCATGACAATTACAGCAGAATGGATGACATGACACAACCCCGGTGCCACAGAGAGGCTTTTTCGTTCCTTGCCAAGAATACAGAGAATTGTTCAGTTAGTGCTGTATAGAGCAGCACGACTCACACTCAACTGTTCAATAGCAGCATGCATGAATAAAATACTAATGGACCTCATACAGCGCAAAGTTGAAGTAGTGAAACCCAGACAACTTCAGGTGAGAGACGGGGTTCAGTCTATCGCAGAGCTAACACAGAGACCAACAACCATTCACATCCACACACCCACGAGCAGTTTAACCTGATCCCCAGAGCAGGTCTCTGGACTGTGGGAGGAAGCCGGAGAACCCGGAGAGAACCCACGCAGACACGGGGAGAACATGCAGACTCACACAGAAAGGCCACTGGGCGGAGTCAAACCCAGGACCTTCTTTCTGTGACCTTGCTAACCACCACACCACCATGCCGCCCTTGGAATGTGGAATACAGATACTTTTCTAAGTAAACACAGTTTATCAAATAAAACAGCAGGGTAGAGCAGCCACTGAGTGTATGAATGAATTACGAAGTTACCAAAAGTAGAAAAGTGATCCAAACCCACCTTTTGGGTTTTCCTTTAGAGACCTGAACTCTTCGGCTTCCTCCTCACTGTGACCCCAAACAAAGAATAAGGAACTTTTGTTACAAATGAGAAGGAAAACTGTCACACAATCCTATTCAATTTGTATCATGTTACATATTTGAATTTACGTTTGTACGAGGGAGTAGACGGTGGCATCATTTCCATCCAGACTGTCAGTGTCTCTGCCGTGGTAGACCTCCACAGAGTTATCATCCTCTTCTAGCGCTCTGCAACATGAACACCCACCACAACATATGAACGGGACATCTCTCCCCTCCTCTTACAGTTCACTGAATTTGTGTGTTCCCCTAACAGCACGTCACTGTCAGTCAGTCTAAAACAACAAGAGAATTTAGGGTTCAACAGGACTTTTCTGAGCTTTTTCCCGAATAGCAGCCGGGAGACGGTCTTCATATATGAAGTGAATCCAGTGTTTCCCCTACCATAAGACCTATCAAAGTTGTATTTTCATAATATGGGACCTGTAAGACTGAAGTGGTTGAGCCCTCTACTAAAGAGCCCGAACCAGGGTTTCTATTGACTTTTCCTGACCATCTGATACTTCCACTGCCACGATGCATCATTTAATCATTACATTACATCACAGGTCATTTAGCAGACGCTTTTATCCAAAGCGACTTACATTACACTTTAAACTCATGGCTTTTTCACCTTTTTGCCCAGGGAACAATTAGGGGTTAGGTGTCTTGCTCAGGGACACTTCGACTATAGAACACACAAGAGACGGCGGTTTGTTTCTTGTGTGAAACCATGTCAGCGTTGCATTATTTTACCCTGGTGGATGGGATACCTTGAGAGCCATAGATGGAAACTCAGGACGTATTGATCAAGCTGCTGTATTTGACTAGTTGGCAGTGAGAATGTCTTGGATGTTAAAATCATTAAAATCGTTAAAAACAAAGTTACACGTGAATCGCTTCGCATAGCAAAACATTAAGGAAACACTGACTTGAAGCTGATAAGGTCTGAGTAGAGGAGCGGGGGCATAAAGAAGGTGAGAAGCAGTTTCCAGACTTCGGTACTCCTCTCCATGTCACCCCACCAGATCTGAGACAACAGGGACTACAGAAAACAGTAGGCCTGTTACAGCCACCAACAAACATTACACTCACGTTTTGTGCAGTATTTGTTTCAATGTCCAGCCGTCAGGACGATCTAACGTTCATACCATTCAGACACTGTAGTCACAGCTATGAGAGTCATTTAAACATCCAAAGCCCGGACTGAGCCTTTGAATTCCAACAGTATCTTTACCTGAACGCCATCATGGCTGAAGAACTTGCGAGCATCCGCCGCAGTGGCCATCTGAAGGCAGGTAGCTCCGCCCCACACAGGAGACTTCCTTATAAGGAGCGTAAAGGAGCGGCTCTCGCTACTCTGGTAACACTCACCAAATACGTCTGGACACACAAACAAAACAGAATACATGGAATTATATCATCATTTTCTTTCATTTCACGGAAAGATGGAGACAGACACAAGGAAAGTCCCGTCAGACTCCAACCACCACGGTCCATGTACCTTTTGACAGTTTACTGTAAAGAAATTAGAAAATGAATCTCACATTTTAAATTCATTAATCGCATTAATAGACTACACTAAATCTTATAAATTAACAAGTAATTACTTCAGTGTGTTTTTTACTGTTGTTTAATTGTATTTTACACAATGACACATGTAATCATCTTGGAGGTGGAACATGCTGAACTTGTTAAAATAACTTCCTGCTGTCCCGGATTTTTTTCCAAACCACTCTTTTAGCCAGCCTCCACTTTCGAAAAGCAAAGTCAAGTCAGCCAGCATGTTATTTTGTGGTGTGCGTATATTTAATAGGCATTACACTAGTGGTGTGTAAAAGTTGACTTCAACAGTTCTAGTGGACGTGATAGAACAGCAGATTTCCTCAACGTGTCAAACAGAAGATGTGGCCAATGGACCATGTTACGCACTGATAGGCTAAGCAAGCTGCTAAGACACCTCCATCTCAACACCTGCTCTGCCTGCACACGGCCTGAAAAGACTGTGGTTTGTAAAACGTCCTGGCTAAATGTGGGGAGCTTGTTGGCACTTCAAACACAGCCGTCCAAAGAGCAAAGTGCACAAGGACAGCAGGAAGAGTTGCTAGTTCAACATGTTCCAACCGCTGGAATTCTACCGCCAAGACGATCACAGTTGTGGAGTTTGTGTTTAAAATGCAATTAAACAACATTGTGCTTTTAATTAGTGAATTTAAAAAAGAGGAAGGACCAGGTGTCCAGATAGAACCACGATCCATGGAGCTGACGTTTAAACTTGCTTGGGACCACGTTGGATAGCGTTCCCCCAGACACCAAGCACAATGGTGCAGTTGACTGCTCGGTGCAAGTCCGTTTGTGTGCACAGCTATATCTTTAAATAGCCTTGCATGTACGGTTTCATCCTTTAACTATTAGCATACAGTCTCGTCTTTTCTTTTCCTGTGATGTCTCACTACTATCACGGTCATTGAGGTCATCGTGGCGCAGGGGTAGAGAGGGTGCACCGGGAGCCGCAAGGTTGGTGGTTTGAGCCCTGGCTACTCTATGTCCCATGTCGAAGTGTCCCTGAGCAAGACACCTAACCCCTATGTAACCACCGGTAGGTACGGAGGGGCGGTTATCGTCCCATAGGGATATTAATTAATCCACCACGGACCCACAGATGACCAGTGTAAACAGACCAAAGCAAAAATATTCCCCCAGAGTACAATATTTATTTTAAGGTAACATTTGCCGTCAGCTCTGGGAATGTCGTCAAAGAAAAAAGAAAGGTTTTAATAAACAAATTCAATTGTATTGGGGCCGTAGGCTGCAGCGGGCTAAGAAGGGGAAAAGAGGGGGGACAAGCTCTAGGACAAGGTCCTCACTCCCTCCAGTGCCGCATCCACTCTCACACAAAACAATGTCAATCAAAAACATGCAACTAAGAAAAAGGGGAGGAGAAAGTGGCTCACTCACTGGCTACACCTAATTGCTCCCCAGGCAAAAAAAATAAAAAATAATGTAAGGTATTCAAAAACCAACATTACCGACTTCTGTCCTGAAGTACTAGTGATTTCCCTCCTCACGTGGTGGTTCTATCTCATGGCGGTTGTCCCTGCAGTGGTCCTGCCGTACACCTGGCTTACTTCTCTCAATATTTGAATAATTTCTGTTTTGTGAATTGAACAATATGTTCAATTATTTTACGTTGTTCATTCTGTACACATGACATCCAGTGTAGTTACTTGTTCCCACTTCCTGGTTCTGACCAAATTCTGTGTCCAAATTCTGAGACCTGACCTTTTCCCTCCGCTTCAAAAGGGTTTTTAATTTTTTGGGGATTCCTTTCCTGTGGCGATGTGAGGGTTTTGGAACAGACTCTTGCATGTTTTTAGACTGTAAAGCCATCTGAGGCAAATTTGTAATTTGCAATTTTGGGATATAAAAAATGAAATTCATTGAATTGAGTGGATGCTCCAAGCTCATCATACCAGGCGGCAGGACTCTTACAGGGAATCTTACAAGAAACCTACCAAAACATTCTACAATATAATAAATGATACCACAACTTATGCTGCCTCTTGGCCAGGTCATCCATGTAATGAGAATTGGTTCTCAATAGATTTTACCTGGTTAAGTAAAGGCAAAAAAATATTTATTTAATTCAAGACTGTACGCACGCAGGAACATTTTCATCCACAGTCCCGAGTAGATTAAGCACAAAAGCACAGTACATAACTCCCCACTTCTTTGTTAACCATGCCCAAACAATGAATAGGAAAATCCCGACTTGTCATTTCCCCTTTTTGTAGGGCAATACATCACATCACATGTCATTTAGCGGACGCTTTTATCCAAAGCGACTGACAATAAGTGCATTCACCCATAAGGATACAAACTCAGAAGAACATGAAACAATTTCCTCAAATAAGCCAATTTACAATTTGCTATAGATGAGTGGCGTACAATTTAAGTGCTACAATTTGTAAGTCTGTTGACGTAGAGTCTGAAGAGGTGTGTCTTTAGTTTGCGGCGGAAGATGTGAAGGCTCTCTGCGGTCCTGGTACTGGTAATACTCTGAGGTGAATTGACTTTAAGTATATGGATTAATTTTAATGTATGCACTGATTTTTTTCTGATTTCCCAAAGTGCTGTGCAATCGTTCTGTATCATCGAAATGCAGGTTAAGCGATTACATCGGATTGAGTCCAACGATTCGCATGAAACAGAACTGGTGGTGGTCTGACTCACCATGGGCCAGGTCCTCAAACTTCTGTGCCAGTTCCTTCATAGCCAGCTTGCTCTCAGTCTCACTCTCAAGCTTTGAGAGCTCCCTCAGCATCTTACAGCCTCCCAGAGCGCTCAGCACCGACTCCCCTGCCTGACAAAGAAACAGAGAAAAATACGTTGCCAACAAATACTTGATCAATACTTGAACAATTCCTTGTTAACACTTTAACTCCATAATAACATCTCTTCAGTGAAGTTGTGGAATACTACAAGTGGGTATTACCATCTCCCAGAAGTAAACAGCCATTTCGCAGCGGTTCTGCAGTACAGCCCAGATAAAGAGGGCGGCCCAGGGTGAGAGGCAGCGCTGGTCCCGGTATTTACACTCCCCCAGAAGCATCTTATTGACTTGCTGTGCAAGACACAACAAGACAAAACAATAGTTCTAAAGAAATATTTCTCTTACTGCTACCACCTATTATTACATTATGTATGTATTTTTCTGATGTTCTTAGTGATTTTCCCCCACTCACTTACCCTGAGAGCCTTCCTGGTGCTGGTGCTGGGGTTCAAATCCAAAGTTTTGTAGTAGAAAGGCTGACAGACATCACCCAACAGGTCCCACAGCAGGCGGGAAACCTGCAGCATCACCGCAAAAGTAAGAGAGGATGCAAAATGTAAATTGACTTAGTCACATCCAATGTATGAGTTCAATAGATGGTCCCTTTACATGGTAAAAACACCAAGTAAAGGAACCATCAGGTGTTTTTAGGTCACCCAATGGTTTGGGGCCAAACACAGGGAAGACTCTGTAGCGACGTAGTATCAGCATCCCTCAAGAGTCAGCTGTAAAGAGAACCGCCATCAGCTGTTAGTATCCACTGATGAGAGTAAAAGCACTGTCCTTGTTCAGGGCTTCAAAGCTATTTAACACTACATGTTATCATTCACCAATTCACACCTATACATACACTGCAGAGCTAACCACGCTAAGTAACACCTGCCCACTGGTAATGTTTTTGTACAAATTGTTGAACTTTACTGCACTTGTGTGTTTGTTGTTTTGAGACTGCACTGACATCAGTCGATGCCCAAATGAATATATCTGTTGCCAATCAGATTTTCAATGACATGAACCTGCCAGGGTTTATTCTACCTTACACCGAACCTTTGTCAAGCCTGAAAATGGGTGGAAAGAAACCTCCTTGAAAGAACTCCGGTATTTGGCTTTGGAAAGCTGAACCAAATCATCTGACCTGCGCACCACAGACAAGGGTTGAAAAAAAGGATGGGCAGATAAGAATCCCCGAAACGATCTGAACAAAGCAATACAGCAGCTAGATTGATGTTTGAGGAAATGCCGACATCTAGTTAACAAGCATGTGCTGAAGCTGGAGAAACAGTGAACTGACAGTGGCAGGTGAGAGGCACTGTAGTGGCAGGTCTGCAAAAGTGTGAATGCACTTCCCTCAGCTGTTCCATTAGGTCAGCTGACTTAGGCTGCCGTACTGTGTGTGAGATTTCTTTTTGGTTTGGCCAAAAGCCGAGGGTAGGGGCGTGTGCCAAGTTCATTTTGACTTTTACGGAGGAGCAATATAAAGCAACCTAATTGGAACTACTAACACGTCAAACATCAGACTGGCCCGACCAGGGACATTAGGGCTCATCAGAGGGAAGATTAAAACCACCCAGGACCTCATTGGTATCCATCCCGAGCTCCAGTCATATTGGTGACAAAAGGAGCCTGCAATGGAACCCAAAGAATATCAAAAGACAATTAGTCCCGAGAGCCACAACCTGCTCACCCGGCTGCTGTCTGGCAGGAGATGCAGAAGTACCCTCTGACGTACTGATAGACATCAGGAACAGCTTCGTTCCCCAGGATGTGAGACTCCTTCAGTGACCATCAACATGAGGCCGACGCTGGACGACCCTTTCACCCTTTTTCACCCTTCACAGTATTTATCAAACCTGCTGTTATTCTGTGGCGCAGGTTGTTTCTCACCTCAAACAGGTTGAGCTCCCTTGCTGAAGGGGGTCCTGTTCGTGCACTCTTGCGACTCTTCAGAGGCGCTGTCTCAGCTGCATGCAGGTTGGGTTGGGATCCAGTCAGCACCAGCCTCTCGCTGAGACGCCTCTGGAGCAGAACGTATGCCAGTGAACTGTCTGACAGCGAGCGGTACAAGCCTTCCAAGCGGCGGTACGTCAGGTAGTTCAGAATGTTCAGTCCATTCTCGCAGAAGAGACGGACAAACTGGGGCTTGTTGTTGATCAGTGCGTCTGTCATGGAGTCCTCAAGGTCCTCGTACTTAAAATAGAAGTACACACATGAGCATTATGTGATTGAAGCCAGCAATGTAGCCCCAGGTAAACCGCCTTCACGCCGGGTGTTTGACTCTGACCTTCCACTGGATGTCGCCATTAAAGAGTTCAGTTTTGGCGATGTCCACTCGGTTCCAGGCCACTGCTAGTTTCAGCTCGTCAGTGCACTCATTGGCTTCACTGGACACCCGTTTACTAGCTTGACACAAATGCAAAGAAAACACCCCTATTTCATTTTGCTGTACAACAAAGCAGACTGGATGAATTCAGTTGGACAGAGTTGTGATTTCTCCGATGTTTTGTTGTCAGTGTGGAGGATACGTGGGTTCAGGGGGCACTGTCAGTAATAGTGTCACACACTGGGGGAAGGAAAGGTCCAAATAAGGCTGATGGGAAACACAATATGAAAAGACAAGTTTTGTAAATGTTTTGTAGAGACATGGTAGGATATATACTGAGCCCAAGTTTATCAGAGATAACTATTTCTGCTATAGAATCTTCTACAGAACCATCCTTTACATTCTACGAGCTATGCATTTTCACCTTAGACCAGAGGTCTTCAACAGGGGATCCGGACCCCTAGGGTGTCCACGGAGGGGGGTCGCAAAATTTAGTTTGAGAAGACAAATTTAAATGTCTTCAGAATCAGAATTGTATTTATTGTCTTTGAATACACATTAACATGAATCCAACATGTTGTAGTAAACAGATACATTGATAGAAGACGTTGTCTTTCACACCGGTTCACTCACACCTCCTTTCATGCTGATACGACATCACAGGCACCAGCCAATCAGATCCATTCATGCTCACATCTAAAGAGCGCCAAGCTCAAAAATAAAAGATGGTCCCTGCTCCATCTCGCTATCAGTTTGGGGGTCCTTGACCTGGAAAACGTTGAAGACCCCTGTCCTTGAGTAGGCTGGAATCATGACTTGTATGTGTTTAAACTCTGCTCCCTGCTCGCAAGCATTTAATAAATGATCTCACACAAAAAATAAAAATTAAGACAAAATAAACAGTTACACAAAAAAGAGACAGCGATAACAGTCTTTAAATGTTGTGTTTGACCAAATATAAGATGACAGATGAGATTTACTGGACGACATATTGGTGGGTTTCGGGACAGAGGATGTTGTATGTGTACAGACTGTAAAGCCCTCTGAGGCAAATTTGTAATTTGCGATTATGGGATATACAAAATAAAATGAATTGAATTGAATATTCTTTTTTTCTGCCCCAGCCCTTCTTAACCTAATAACCTAATGAAAGGTCTCAAATGTATTGCATTTGAGACCTTTCTTATTGACTATTCTACATCCCTCTTCAGTAGTCTCAGGAACATTTACCATCCAGATCATCAGGTTGCATCACAGCCGCTGTGCACGTTAGAGGAAGGAGACATCTGTTCTTCTCTTACAGTGCTACATGATTAACATATTTACTCACTTACCTCTAACGAGAGCTTTGAGGAGAACTATATCAAAATCATCGGAACCCTCTTGTTCTCCATGGAAAACAGTGATGAACTCTCTCTTCTGATAAATACTCAGAGCCTAGAAAAACAGAGGCAGCGTAAAGACATTCAAATCAATGTTAAATGTTTCAGATCATAGATCTCATATATTCGCAAAGACACAAACCAAATGCACAGTACTGGAGGATGAGAAAAGTAGTTGGCTTCAACTTATTCAATTCTGCCATAAGCATTATGAGAATTATTAGAGCGTCTGACTCACACGGTCCACCAGCTTCTCCAGCTCAATCTCAGCTGGGAAGTATCTCTGAAGCTTGTCACGGACCATGTCGCGGAGCGATGCGATGAGACCCTCAGCACCCTCCTCAGCCGGAGGAGAGGTGCTTGTGAGGGAAACAGAGGAGAGATTGTCCAGCAGCTCACTGATGAAATCTGCAGCAGAACCAGAACCAGCAAGAACCAGCCAGGGCGTAGCTTTCCCCAGAGAGACATCCAATCTCTGAAAACCATATAAATACTAGGACATTTACAGGTACACGCTGTATGGTCAGTGTGTCAGTGGGGTGGCTATATCTCTCTTACAAACCTTTGGCTACTTTTTTTAATTACAACGACGACATGTCATTAACTAGTAGACATTGCTTTATAATCATTTTTGATAATACTGGGCAGACCTACCCTCACAATAGCACAAAGACAGGTATGGAGAAACCTTAGTGCTGCTGTGGCCAAGCAAGAAGCGGGAATGTTGTCCAAATTAAGTGTAGGTGTATTTGGTGTATTTGGTGCATTTTCAATTTCAAAATCGTTTTCTTCTGAATGTTGAAGCTAATCCATGGTCTTAAAAGGTGCCAGTAGCACAAACAGTGCAAACAACAGATGCAGTGGTAACAGAGCGAACAGCGTTATGCTGTAACTGAGTTCAGTGCACTATTTGGAGAAGACGACCAGAGCCAGACCATGTGTGTGTGTAGAGTGAGAACGTACGGACTGTTTCCTCACCTCAAGCATGTTGGCGTCTCCGGAGATGAGCATACACAGCACCGGGATTTCAATACTGCCACTTCCTGTTATCGGCCCAAGATAAGAAGTTAGAAGAAAGGAAGAAGAAGAAGCCTTTAGGACAAGGTGGGACGAGAGACGTCTTCACATCTTCAGACTATACCTCCACTAACACACTAACTACCTGTAGCACTTACGTTGGACTCATAATGGCACGTATTTATAGCATATTGTACATTGGCTTATTTGATGAGTTTGTACCCTATGGTTAAATGCACTTATTGTAAGTCGCTTTGGATAAAAGCGTCAGCTAAATGACATGTGATGTAAAAGAAAAAGACAGCTTCTTCTTCTACAAAACATCACATGATATCAATGTTTCTAACTGTTCTGATCATGATTTGTAGTAATAGGGTTTTCTATCCTTACAGCTTATTAGGAATCAGTATTTCCCATCCCTTTGTTTTAGCCCTTTAGCTATCCAGGGAAGGTTTGCTGGGCATAAAACTGGAGCAGCAAACATCAGTGTCTTCATTTACTTGCCAAGTGTGACACGCTGTCAGTAGAGGGCAGACCAGTACTAAACACAGTCAGCACACACTGTTTCCTCCTGAAGGCTGCTGCGTGCTTCTGCGTCTTTACGCACCGTCGCGTCGACGCACTCGTTTTGATTCAGCGTTCAAAAAGTCTTTTGCTTTTTTGCAAAGCAATTCACCACCAGAACAACAGCTGGAGTAACGTTTTTTTGCCGAAGATGACCTAGAGAGTGACGTCTTTCTGTCTGCAAGTCGTTGGTTTTCTTTATTTATTTAGCAGAGACTTTATTGCCCCGTATTTTCCTCCACGACTTTGTGGACCCCGCGACCGGAAAACAGACGTTTGCGGAGATCTCCCTCCATGAATGACAGGCCATCCGCGTCCTTATAGTCCGCCAACGACGGCTTGTAGAAGTGGTCATATTTACACATTTCTTCTATTATTATAGATATTAATCATATTACTGTACCCGTAAACCAACATTACCCTCTCCTAAAGTCTCTGTGCTCTCCCTCCCCACAGGCTTCTGTGGATGGTGGTTCTATCTGATGGTGGTTCTATGTGACGGTGGTTCTATGTGACGGTGGTTCTATCTGACGGTGTTTCTATGTGACGGTGGTTCTATGTGACGGTGGTTCTATCTGATGGTGGTTCTATGTGACGGTGGTTCTATGTGACGGTGGTTCTATCTGACGGTGTTTCTATGTCGACGGTGATTCTAATATGATCGTAGTTCTATGTGACGGTGGTTCTATGTGACGGTGGTTCTATCTGACGGTGGTTCTATGTGATGGTGGTTCTATGTGATGGTGGTTCTATCTGACGGTGGTTCTATGTGACGGTGGTTCTATGTGACGGTGGTTCTATGTGATGGTGGTTCTATGTGATGGTGGTTCTATCTGATGGTGGTTCTATGTGATGGTGGTTCTATGTGATGGTGGTTCTATGTGACGGTGGTTCTATGTGACGGTGGTTCTATCTGATGGTGGTTCTATGTGACGGTGGTTCTATCTGATGGTGGTTCTATCTAATGGTGGTTCTATGTGATGGTGGTTCTATGTGATGGTGGTTCTATCTGATGGTGGTTCTATGTGATGGTGGTTCTATGTGATGGTGGTTCTATGTGATGGTGGTGGTCCCTGCAGTGGTCCTGCAGTGCGTCTGGTTTACTACTCACAATCACTTGAATCATCTCTGTCATATAGTCTCATGTATTATACATTGTTCATTCTGTACACATGACATCATTGTAGTCTGTCCATCAGGAGACGGATCCTCCTCTGACGTTCTCACTAAGGTTTCTTCCCTTTTTTCCCTCTTGGAAGGGTTCTTTCATTTTTTGTGCCGATGGAGGGTTTCGGGACAGAGGATGTCGTATGTGTACAGACTGTAAAGCCCTCTGAGGCAAATTTGTAATTTGCAATTTTGGGCTCTACTAAATAAAATGAAATGAATTGAATTGAATAATGATCTAAAATGTCTTGAGCATTGCAGTTACTAAGTAATTCAGTACTCTGCAGTATAATATAACAGGGTCCATATTAAACATACTTTGTCTCACCCCAAATGCCAGTGCGTTGATGGGAAATGTAGTCCTCCAGACGTCCACGAAAGACTGTCTCTCCCCCCCGGCGGCCAATGGTACCATCATCCACCAGAAGGAAAGCCTGGCAGTTGTTGTCCAAGCAGTAGGAATCACGGGATGTGTTCTGGACGTAGTATCGAGCAGGGAAACTGCCCTTTAAACAGACAAACCCAAAAAAGTTAATCTCTACAAAGAGATGGAATCTTTTCTGCTACCCCTCTGCTGAGGGGTCCCCCACCACGAGGCACCTCCCGTACACCTCCTGTAAGCAAGGGGGGGATTTGCCTCGCCGATCCTAGTTGCCTTCAAGAGTGGTTCTGGCAGCTGGAGGGCATGACCAGCAGCTGAACGGCTGCATAGAACCATGTTTGCAGTTTAGAACAAGACTCCCAGTTCCCAGTGCCTGCTATACTTATGTCTTTGCAGTGCAACCTTTGTACGGGTCGGTCTCCCTCTACCTTGAGGGTGTACATGGTTGCTTATGTACGGCAGCATGCTATGGTCGACAATGACACATTGGGGAGCAAGAGGCTGGTGTCGCTCTTCCAAAAAGGGACTTTGCAGCAGCGCCCCAAGGCTCCTGCGTGGGACCTACCTCTGGTACTGGACACCCAACGCTTGCCTCCCTTTGAACCATTAGCACGGCCACAGCTGAAATGTCTGTTCGCCAAAACGGATCCTGCTAAGCTACGTGCCCTGTCTGTAAATTAATCATGTATGAGTTGTGTTGGGGGAAAATTGTTGAGCCTGCGTAGGGTGAGGCTCTCAGGAACATGACCTTTTATGTGAGCCTGTGACCTAAGGCAGTCCAGGGTGAGATAAGACACAGATGGAACCATACGTGCCCTGACTTTTAAATGTTATTGATTGACTGGGTCCATCAAGGGAGGGTCACGGTGTTTCCCCTACGTCGTCTCTGGTACTTTTCCAAACACTCCTCTTTGACGGGGGGGCTCTCCTGTGCTGAGGCAGCACAAACCTCCCTGAAGTGTATAAAACCTCCTGTTCTCCTTTTCAACTTGGTCTGATCTTCCTGCTCCTTTTGGGGGAAGGAACAATCTGCCCCTTTTCAGCTGAATTGTAGTCATTTGACTGTCTGTACGTATGGCTTGTGCTGTTGATTTCTGTATTATTTATCATTTTCCTATATTCCAGTTAGTAATAAATACGTAATCACAAAGCAAGCTCAAGATACTTATGATTTCTCACAAGGGCTAAATCCACAAACTTCCACCACAAGTTGGAACTCAGATGTCACTTTGAGGCCTAATGAAGCGTTTCTCCCAAAAGGTGCACTTCTATCTATGTCAACCAGCCTATCCAGCTTGCAGAGTTTGAACCCCCACTAGGAGAGTACATGTCAAGGTTGCTGTGCCCGATGCGTTCCCTTACCGCTTGTGTGTTAGTCATGTGCTTAGCACAGCCGATACAGCTCCTTATTACTGATGGTTGCCCTAGAAGAGGCTGTGGTCTTTTTAAAAAGTGCATGCAACACTGGATGCACCAACCGCCAAGACAAATTCCTTGTATGTTTGACATATTTTGGCAATAAATGTTTCCTGATTCCTGATTCCTGACTGCCAATGCATACAAAGCAAGAGCCTGTGATTTGCCATTTGGAGTAAAGTCCATTCTACCAGGAGTGTTTATTTGTCAAGGGTGAACCTAAGGTGTGCCTGTGGAGGATATATGGCCCGCAGCCCCATGGGCATCACCGGACACATTCACCAGATACTACAGAATAAAACATTGCAATACAGCGCCTCATCTTCACTGAACACAATTTGAAATGAGGTATGCTCTTCCTTACCACACATGAGACAAAGGAAAGACGGATGTGTAAAGACATTTCTCACGTCAAATAAGTCAATAAGAGATGTGCCTGTTCTGAATTACCTACTTTTGATGGATTGATTCCTGCATGATGTGAACAATGTGAAAATAACATCCAATCATGAGGAACAAAATAAAACTAATTTTGTTGTCTACTCAACACACAAAGAAGACACCAGTACAGAATTAGTCCCGGGTAAAAAGGGAAGAAGTTTTCTTCCCTTTTTACCCGATGGAGGGGAGTTTTTCCTGTGCCGATGTGAGGGTTTTGGGACAGAGCATTTGTACAGACTGTAAAGCCCTCTCTGAGGCAAATTATAATTTGTGATTTTGGACTATACAAAATAAAATGAATTGAATTGAATTTTCCTGCCCGTCTTCCCCGCTTGTCTCAGCTGGGCTCGGGCCGTGTACGGTACGAGAGAAGAACTTTGCCGGAGAAACTAGAGGTAAAACAGCTGGACCCAAATCAGCCTGACTTCACGATCAGACAACGGACCGGCGTGAAAGAGAAGCCGCAGATATATGACACATCTGTAGAGACTCTACACCGGGATGTTTAGCTACCTAGTTAGCTACATGCTAGCGCCGTATGTTCCCACTTGCATGACGTGTTAAAGTTAACATCTCCAGCCAGCTGCACGCACACAGGACTGCAGTGAGGACACACAATCAGGACGTGGATGAAAATAGGGATATTTTATCCCAAATTATTGATTGTGTGAAGTTTTGTGGGGCTTTTGAGTTGGTCTTTTCTCAACACACTGATCGGGTGTTTCCCCAACAAACTATTCGATTCGAGCTTTGTGACATGGTGCATTATCCTGCAGGAAGTAGCCATCAGCGGATGGGTACATGGTGCCATAAAGGGATGGATATGGTCAGAAACAATGCTCAGGTAGGCCGTGGCATTTAAACGATGCCCAATTGGCACTAAGGGGCCTAAAGTGTGCCAAGAAAACATCCCCCCCCCACCATTACACCACCACCACCAGCCTGCACCGTGGTAACAAGGCATGATGGATCCATGTTCTCATTCTATTTACGCCAAATTCTGACTCTACCATCTCGGTTGTAACGAGTGGTTATTTCAGTCAAAGTTGCTTTTCTATCAGCTTGAATCAGTCGGCCCATTCTCCTCTGACCTCTAGCATCAACAAGGCATTTTCGCCCACAGGACTGCCGCATACTAGATGTTTTTCTCTTTTCACACCATTCTTTGTAAACCCCAGAAATGGTTGTGCGTGAAAATCCCAGTAATTGAGCAGATTGTGAATTACTCAGACCGGCCCGTCTGGCACCAACAACCATGCCACGCTCAAAATGGCTTAAATCAACTTTCTTTCCCATTGTGACATTCAGTTTGGAGGTCAGGAGATTGTCTTGACCAGGACCACACCCCAAATGCATTGAGGCAACTGCCATGTGATTGGTTGATTAGATAATTGCATTAATGAGAAATTAAACAGGTGTTCCTAACAATCCTTTAAGTGAGTGTATATTGTAATATATTTATCCTTAAATATAATATATTGATTATATGATATTTGTATTAGAGGAGTCTGCATGTTCTCCCCGTGTCTGCGTGGGTTCTCTCCGGGTTCTCCGGCTTCCACAGTCCAGAGACCTGCTCTGGCGATCAGGCTGATTGGGGACTCAAAATTGCCTATAGGTGTTGTGACGACTCAAAGAGACTGTGAAGATTAACATCCTGTTTTTATTTTTGTAACCACGGCACTTCCTGTATCTAGTTTCTCACCCTTTGTTTCTCCCCACAGCTGAGTTTAGTTTGCAATCACCTCCACCTGTATTTAAGCCTCAGTTCCCCACTTGTCTGTGTCAGGTTATCTTTTGTCTTTCCTAGAGGTGCATGTTTGTTGTTAGAATTTCCCAGTGCTGTATTTGGTAATCTTGTTTCTACTTCGTTGCCAGGCTCTCTTCCCTTTTGTTTCTACAAGAGCGTGTGGATTCCGCCTTTGCCTGTGCCCCCTTTGTCTTGCATCAGTTTACTCTCCTAGTAAAAGATTCCAAACCTTGAAAGAGTTTTCTGTTGCCTTATTGCTCTGCACCTGAGTCGAAGTCCTGACCCCTCACAGGTGTATGAATGGGAGTGTGAATGGTTGTGTGTCTCTGTGTAGCCCTGCGATTGGCTGGCGACCAATCCAGGATGAACCCCGTCTATCGCCCGAAGTTGGCTGGGATGGACTCCAGCCCCCCGCGACCCTGTGTGCAGGATAAGCGGTTTGACAATGGATGGATGGATGTATTGGATTTTTATAATAGTTGTCATATAGTAGTTATAGCATATTCTGAATATTGTTTGATGTATATATAGTTTTATATATATTCATTGATATACTGAATGTTTGACGATTTATGTTATTGTTAGGGATTTAAGTGGAAGAGCACCCCTAGTGGTGGAAATGATAACACGTGTAATAATGTTTAGTGTTAGAATTGTAGTGTGTGTGTGTTATTAGATATTAGTTATTACATTAGCTTGTAAGATGAAGTGAATGCAATATGAATCAACACAAAGTATAGTCATGTAAATCATATAAACACTGTACTCATTAACATTCTGTCACAATGTGATGGTAAAACCTGGGGACGGATGCTAAGTCCCGTCCTTTATGGATTTCTCCCAATTTTATCCCCAAAGAGGCTTTTTGGGGAGAGTTTTTCTCCTGTCAGGTAGTAGATGAGCAACTGAATGCAAGACAGCCGAGTGAGGCAGATATCTTCAGTGTTGGACCACATGAACTGTTTTAGATCTCATGATGTAGTGTGATGAACTGTGATCATTAATGATGTGGTGTAATTAAGGTGTACTCGTTATAAGATGAAGACTTATGCATAATTTGTTATATTCACTCATTGAGGCATAAAGCCAAATGTTGAGTGTATTGAGTGTATTGGAATGTGAGGGACAGATAAGACCCCGTGCAGACGGACTCTAGTTTTAGTAGTTCTAGTTGGATTCACGGAGGGAGATCGCCGCAAACGCCGTTTTGCCGGTCGAGAGGTGCGTTGTTGAGAAGTTGTGGAGGAAAATACAGGACAAATGTGTCCGCGATGAAAAGCACGGGTAAGCACGGGGCAATAAAGTCTATGATAATAAATAAACAAATAAATAAATAGACGTGACTCTCTAGGTCGTCTTCAACAGAAACGCGTCACTCCGCCTGTTGTTCTGGAGGTGAATCGCTCTGCAACACACGCAGAACCATGAATTGAAACGAGTGCGTCGACGCAACGACGCAGGCGCAGAAGCACGCGCCGGCCTTTATACGCATGCTCCTGTCTTCTTCTTCAGTTGTCTGTAGCACCTTAAAGTGTCATCAACAGGCGTGGGGGATGTACCACAGCGCAGTCAATCGGATTCACTGGGTTCATGTGCACGCGATTTAAAAAGTGTGTAGGTGTGAAAAATGAACCCGGGTTCAGGCAAACTAGAGTCCGTCTGCACGGGGTCTAAGACAGAGAGGTTTCAGGTTACAGCTTCACACCTGGACGTGAAGGGGACAATCCAGGAGGAGACACGTTTGAAGGAGAAGCCAATGACATTCTAATGCACATAAAAGACACACCTCAGGAGTTTTCAAATGACCAAAGTGGGGAAAGGACCGTTAGAATTTTCCTGCAGCAGTTCTGATAAGTCACTCGCAAAATATTTTACTGTTTGTTTTGTATTTCACTTTGTAATTGTATTCCTTATAACGTTGTTTAGCTATTAAATGCTTTTTGGGTTTTAAATTTGAGTAAATTGACTCTTTTGATTCTTCGTTTCCGGCCGGGACGAGAACAAAGGAGTGAGGCCTCCTTCGATGGCTTCCCGAACCATTAACATTATTATGTTAAATTGTGTTTAACTGCAAAGTAAAAATGTGTGTCTTTTTTGGCATTCAATCATACTAGGAAACTAGTGTTTACTGAAACTGATTGGCTGGCCGATAAAATGTATCCAATCAGAGTACATTAAACTACTCATATGCAGTCTATTGGTCTGTGTTGCTCTTTTAATGTGGGTACAAATTATAATTGTTTTCAAGTCAAATGTAGAGTTTGCAGACAATCTATTTTGTTTTGGAGTAAACCTTGTGACAAGTCAAAGGTAGGTGTAAAGGGTAAATTGGACTATCTCAGGGCGAGCTTATGGTATGCATACTGCGTGATGGTTACCTGGGCATTGACAAGCTTCTTCCTGTTGTGCACCAGGCCCCAGGGTGCCAGCCCTACAGCAATCACTTTATTTTGGATACAGCTGGAGCCGCGGCCCCATGGTCCCTCACCGCCTCCCCCACACATCGGCCTAATCCTTCCCTCAACCCCCCCGTCAGGATCCAGGCCCCTGGGAAAGAGCAGCGAGAGAACCAGGTGTTACGTATAAAACTTGTCAGATGCCTCTTACAGGCCAATATTGCTGAACAGCTGACCACCAGAACAGGACATCAAAACAAACAATATTTTACAATTTCTGAAGTTTTTGTACAAAAGGCCTTTTGGTTACTCAATGTTTCTATTCACCCAGATACAGTAGATATTGATATAACTGTGAGCTGTGAGTGCTTACCTGTGCTCTGTGCAGCCCTAACCAGCCCGTTTCTCAGGACATCTCTCACCCAAGTTTTGACCTTCTCGTTGCCTTCACCCCCCACCACCGACACCACCAGGTTGGGTAAGGGCAGGCCCCAACGAGCCGTCATCAGGGTGTAGACGGTCTGAGGAGATGTGTCACATGACAGCCGCAGAAACTGGGCAGAAAAAGATCATTTCTAATGATTTAAAGAAAGTATTCTGTCATTCACACTGTCCACTTTAACGTGCATGAATATGTCCAGAGGGACACCTGAGACAACACTTATTTCCAAAAATAAATTATAGTATGGCGTAAGCGTATTTCTAATACATTGCACTGAATGTTAATTTTACATCCCAGTTTAAACATTGGATGTTGACTAAAGTTTATGGAAAGCAATATTTTCCCATTTCTGCCTGGGCTATTGAATTGATATAAATGACATTTAAGAGCATTAGATACAGAAACACCCACGTCATATATGTCAACAGTTAATGTCTGTATGTCAAACTGTTTTCTTCCTTTTCTATTTAGATTTGTGCCTCTTTTATTCTTCGGGCAGATGCCAGCAGATGCAGATGCTCTGAAAACCATTAATTTGCTTAAAAAAAGAATCGGATCGTAACTACTGAATTACAACTTGGACCCCGACTCCGTACGGGTTTCTATTTACCACCCCTGATCCAAACGGTGGGGTCATCATGTCAGATTGTTTCCATTAGTGCGTTCTGCACAGGAACTCACGTGACTGTGTTTTCGGGCAGCGCCGGCAAACTCCAGTTCCCCGTAGGCGTCGGTGGGACACTCTGAAGAGTGCTGCCTGCTGTCCCACTGAGTGACAATAGCTTCTCCAAAGTAGTCCCCTGTTGCCACAGAATCATGCGCCTCCCGCTCGCCTCCACACTGGCACAGCGCCCCATTACTGACAAACAGCACACAAACCAACAAGTGCACAGAACTCGTTATCTCTGGTCCCGAGATGGTCCAAGCCTAATCTCTCTGTCACACCTATTTCAGGAGGAAGGTTTTCCAGTTTGGGGGACAATCCATTGTAATTGTAGATCGGGAAGAAGAAGAAGTAAGAACTATCAACATTCTCCAAATCAGTGAATGGTAAAAATGAAAGCATCTTCAAGAGGAATACGTTGAAACAATAAGGGACTCTCACTAAATTGAACAGCGTATATTATCCCCGTCTCTTGTTAAACACAGAGGAAAGACTTCTTACCTGATGGAGTCTTCAACAAAAGTAGTGCACACTCGCTTCTTGAAGACATTTGGAATCCAGCTCTGTGAGGAAAAAGAAGAAATATAGTTGACCAAATATAAAACACACCTGATTCTAAAGAGCACAGTGACAGATTTAAGTACAAACAACTTGACAGCCAGCATTTTGAAAATGGAGTCAACCTGAGTTATGTCACCATTTTCGCTTTTAAATTTGTAAACTTACTGACGTAATGTTCTCTTCTATCACTTCATGCATTTTACTTCACTGATATCATTTCAACATGTCTCCATAACGAAACCAGAGGACGTTTGCCAAAGAATCCCCAAAGGACAAACAGGATCAGAGTTGTGTGTCGGTCTGAACATCCACCTCATCTTCCTTCCTTCTTTGTGCCGTCATATTACGACGGCCAGAGGAAAAACAAAGGTAAAACTCTGTTTTCGAATGTCCTGGAGACGAGACCAGTCTGTCTACATGCAAACTAGAAACTAGGTGACTGTGTGAACGGTGGAAACTAGTAAAACTAGAAATACTGCAGCCTCAAAATATTCCAGTGAATGCAAGTAAAAGTCCTAAATTATACATGTTGCTCAAGTAAATGTACAGACGTATTATTCGCAATATGTACTTAAATTATCAGAAGCAAGTACTCTGAAATACTAAAAGTAATAAAAGGTATTATGCAGATTCCTCCCCTCAACCTGCCACAAACCTGCTGTGTGAAATGCTCCATTTAGTGTCGGTCTTCACACACTTTGTGGGTTGGTAGACTCAACAAATACCCAAATGCATGTGCAGGATGTTATGGATGTTAAGGATCGGTTATTTTAGCCAGATGTCCAGTATGAACAATGAAATGGGCTTTCAGTGGAAGTGATGGGGAACCAAGTCAACTGAGAAAACAAATGTATGAAAGAATTCATGTTGAGACAATGCAAAGCTTCAAAAAGTTTTAAGACAAAGGTCTGTTTGATACTATCCCTTCACTAAACACACGGTGACAAATAGAATTTTGTACAAAGAAAGGCTGAGATTTGGTTTCAGCCTCATGTGAAGGGGAGCCTGACGCAGAACATGTGACTTGGGTGTTATTTGAGCTGGTTTGATGTGTAGCTGTCGAGGAGCCGGTGTGCTCCACCCATGTGCTCCACCCATGTGACCACACGGAGGATTAAGAGAGCAGCGAACAACCAGAGGGAAGCGGACCATGAAAGCCAAGCAGAGAGTGGAAGACACGAGGAACGAGTGAACCGCAGTTCAAGCTGAGACGTGACTGCAGAGCTCCGGTGCCACAAACGGCCAGTCACGTCCTCCGGCGCTGGTTGGTAAACACAGGACGTGTTGCTTCTAAAGGCAGCAGATCAAACTGAATCAAAACGATTCAACCCCCATTGTGTGTTACGCTTATTAGCAAATTGTACATTTTTTTAGCGGTTTGTAATAAAGAAAGTAGACAAGAACAGTTGAAATAGTTCAATAAAACCAATATTACCATAGTTTTTATCCAAATGTAACACAAAATGCTACTTTAATCACTACTGATTATTCATGACAAGCATCTTCAGTGCTTAACAGAGCACCCTCATTATTTATGTGCATGAGATAGAAGACACACATTTCTGGACTGCCCACGGCTTTGTTGAGAGCGACAGTCGATGATGTTAAAAGAACAGCTCAGAGAAGTTACATTGCTTTGAAAAACAAGGATAAGAGTACAAAAATATATCATCAAAAGTGCTGAATGTCCCGAGAGATGCAGTTGGAAGCATAGTTTGCAAGTTAAAAGTGAAGGAACAGTGGACACACAAGCTGAGGTGCTCCTGAGGTGGAAACACCTGCAGCAAGACTCGCTCGGTGCTCTACCAACTGAAGATGCTGGTCATGAAGGCGTTGAATCATTTTGAGATTGCACTAGTCATTTTGTGTTGAATTTGGATAAAAAGATTGTAATATTAGTGTCATTGAACTACTTAAACAGTGCCTGTCTACAGCTGAGAAAAAAATAAAGCTAATGTGCAGTTCAATAATTTGCATTGCAACTGTAATGTGAGAACTGGTTCAACTGGTTTGCCGAAGGCTTTTTGTGGAAACACTGAGCGTGTTACAACGGGACTCTGTTTAAACAAGGAAGCTGAGCAGATATCTAAATGATGATCATCTTACACGAAGGGAATACCAGACACAGCATTTCACACGGTGTATCATATCCGCTTGTAACAGAATACAAGTTTTGAAATAAAGAAATACACTGACTCAATACACCCAGAGGCCGACCCCTGTATTCACACATTCACCCCGGGGTCCAGTGGCGTCATCCCGGGTCACACGGAGCCTACCTGGTCATTCTCTTTGCTGCCTGCAGCGTTTCCCACTTCTCCGTCCCTCCTCGTCTGCGGCTCCTCCATCCTGCGCTGCAGCTGAACAGTGCAGCGCGCCGAGGGATCAGCCGGGTCGGGCCCACTGAGCCACGCCTCCCTTGCTGGAACAACACCAGTGGGAGACGGCCACTTCCTTTGATTAACCTAGTAGGAGTGTTGGACTGGTGAAACGATCACATTGGGGGCTAACAGACAGCTGTCACTCCAAAGCAGGAAGAGAACATGGACGTCCAAACGAACTTTGGTAGAAGGATAAAGGCTTGTCAGATCTTTTCCACAACCAGTGTTACTGTTCTAATAAAAGTTGGTATAGTGGGAATAGACACAAATATACCTCCTGAATCACGTGGAGCGGAGGGGGTTACAATAAAAGCTGAACATACAAAGTGAAATGCACAAAAGTTGAAAGCCATAAGGAGCCACTCAGGAGCAGAAGGCTCTTTGTGTTGGATGATTCCTAGAGAGCTGGTACAGACAATGAGGCGACAGCAGCACCCACTCAGTCAGCATGTTAAACCAGATACATGAAGGGCTGGCTTTGGTTTTGTGGTATTTTGCACAAGAAAAAGCAACCAGCTGACCAAAAAGAGAGACACACCTACAACGTCCCTGTGTTTATGCAGCTGCCAGACCAACTTCAGTTCAAATATTTGTGTAAAACAATATCACTAGTCACATATTTACCTCGGAGGGCTTTCCCTGTACAACCTGCAGAGAGAGAGACGAGCTCTGCAAAGGAGAAAGTACAAACGACTCCAGAATTGGCGGATGCATTTGGAACACAATGCAAACGCGTCAGAAATGGCAGCAGTTCTTCACAAGGAGTCGGACTGGCCACTGGGAGTTGTGGTAAAAGCTGTTTCCAGCAGAGATGGACTGTTTGGGAAAACAAAGGAGAGGTGACAAAGGTCTTCAGAACTGGTTCAGAAGAACCAATCTGTTTAGCTGTATTCAGTATGGGCTCCTAGACGAAGCAGAGGGGTGTTCTGACCCTGCTGGTCTCTTGCACTGACGGTTGGTCTGAGGAACATATGAGGGGACTCTCACTCAGGCATGATCCTGATCAATGTGAGAAGAGAGATTGAAGCATATAGTTAGAACCTTTTGTTTTGATTACAAACCTAATATGTATGTGTGATCTGAACACGTTCCTTTGTCTTCCAAGTGCTTTTCAAATTGGTATTTTGAATAACTCATTCTTTGTGGCAACTATTGTTGTAAATGTGATGAGGATCGGCTGTGAGAAGAGGACAGATCGAGACCCCGTCTCTTGGTTTTTCTTGTGTGGAACGGGGCCGAGGCCCGAGGCGCTTCCATTGGGCTTCCTGGAATTGAAAACAGGCCGATCAAATGGGTGCAGCGCCTGCTGACTCTTCGTTGAAGGAGTACACGGAACAGGCTACTATACATATGAAAGAAGCACCTCCCGACCAATCAGCTGGGAGGAAACAGTGAGTCACTATTCTGCAGGATCCAGTGTGTACAACATATTGCACTCACAAGGTGTAGATGTTGATGGTTGAACCATGATCCCTCGGTGGTTCTAAAACATCTACAGTTATAACATAACATAGTGTGTGTAAATAGAGGGTACATACACATATTATTGTCCTATACTGTAAATTAAAAGGGCTTCACACATGCACACTGTAGACTAACGCTTTCCTCTCCTGCATTAACAACATTATTATCATTATTATTTAGAAGGTAACAAAAAGATTTAGTAAAGAAAATCATTGTTATATACGTTCATGTTGTTCATCAGACCACATTCCAGGCTCGTGAACACGTTGGGAGTAAGTGACTATCACAAAGGCTCAAGTGCATTGTGTCTCATGCAGACACAGCGCTGTTGTTTGTTGAACGTGCTTCTTGAGAGGCCCTGCATGGAGAAGATAAACGTCAACAGTCTGGACGTCCTCCCCTGGGGCGCTGCGGTCATTTCCTCAATACCAGGAAGTCACAAATAAAGCACATTCTTCCTTCTGTGCAACTCCGGATCTCACCGTTTTTATACAAACTACTGCTGGAGTCAGGAACACACAAGTCCAAGCTGGAGTAACTGACACATGTGTAGTAAGTACAGTAACTAAAAGACAATGTCCTCCTTGATCTTCTGCTCGATGGTTACTGGCTGCTATTCACTGACCTTTACACTTGATTTGGGAATTTTTGGTTCTTGTCCAAAGACTGAGGGGACCCAGTAGCTTTAGACTTGAGTGCAGTACCTCTTATGAGTTCATGTTTCACGCAAACTCAGTCATTTTAAACTTTCCATATTGTATTTTATGTGTGCGTGTCAAGGAGAAGACACAGAGACGCGACAGGAAACAGGGGTCTGATATCTCAGGAAACTTGCTTCCTGCTTGCAATAACCAAAGGGGCAGTGAAAGGTCATGTGAGGGGCGTGGAGGAGGAGCTGCAAGGTCATATGAGGGGCGTGGAGGAGGAGCAGCAAGGTCATGTGATGGGCGTGGAGGAGGAGCTGCATGGTCATGTGATGGGCGTGGAGGAGGAGCTGCAAGGGCCACAAAGCATGTTCCATTTTCTATGATAAGTAATGAATTGCTTATATTTCTGTTCTTTTGGAAAACTTTTGATATTGACATAATGCTTTTTTTTCGACATTGACATGACACATCTTCAACCAGTGGCAGAGTAAAAAGAGGAAGTAAGTTGTGGCTTATATAAATGTACACATGGGTACAAATGTAGTGACCAGCATAATATGTGTGAGCGTCAGTGCTGTCGTTCATCCCATGGTGGGATGTAGCTCATGTAAAAGTGACTGGGAGCTGATGTTCCATGAGAGAGCCTTTAGCGTGTTGACTGTTGTTTGGTGAGGCCACGGCAACTCGGGTTTACACGCCCAAGTCATAAGTTTGAATGGAAAAAAAAAGGTTTGAAATTTTTAAATATAAGATTTAAATCTGAAATATATCTGAAAATATAGATAGAAATATATAATACAGTGAATATCAATAAATACATATATATAAATAAAAATACATAAGTGAAGATTGGAAAAAAATGTATATAAAGAACTGAGAACTCAGTCAAAACTATATTCAACTCAAAAATACTGTTATGTTGGATACATTGATGTATTTTTCAATGTTCAAGACCAAAACGTTCACTTTCAGGTTGACATTTGTTTTTCAACCAACTTTTGACCTGGATTTGGCTCCATTGTCATGAGCGAACACAAGACGAACCCTCTACTACTGCTGCCCCCTACTGGGTCACAACACGGCATGATTTAACTTGATGTTTCTCTTTAACGTTTTCTTTCTACATCTCACCACAACAATCACTCACTAAGAAGTTATGCATTCAATTCAATTAATTCCTTTTATTTGGTATAGGCCAAAATTGCAAATTACAAGTTTGCCTCAGAGGGCTTTACGGTCTGTACACATACAACATCCTCTGTCCCGAAACCCTCCATCAGCACAGGAACAACTCCCCAAACAGGAAAAACCCTTTGATGGGGAGAAACCTACAATGATGTCATGTGTACAGAATGAACAATGTAGAAGATGAACGATACATTCAGTTCATACGACAGAAATGGTTCAAATAATTGTGAGTAGTAAGCAGGTGTACAACAGGACCACCATCACATAGAACCACCATCACATAGAACCACCATCACATAGAATCACCGTCAGATAGAACCACCGTCACATAGAATCACCGTCACATAGAACCACCATCACATAGAACCACCGTCACATAGAACCACCATCACATAGAACCACCGTCACATAGAATCACCGTCACATAGAACCACCGTCACATAGAACCACCGTCAGATAGAACCACCATCACATAGAACCACCGTCAAATAGAACCACCGTTACATAGAAGTTCTATGTATACCTCAAAGTTCCCTGCGCCTTGTATTCTTCCGTTGGAATAATCCGAAATAAACTTGGTGTAATTTTAAAACAGCGAAGACTACGTTTCCTATTGTTAAACATATAAACGCCGTAGTCTGAATCATGTTCATCTGCGCTGTATTACGGTCTGTGAGCATCCAATCAGTGCCTTGCGGCTGCAGCAGCGACCAATCAGGATCCAGGAGGTGTGTAAACACGTTGTGGATCAGCCCTGTGGCCCCCGACCTTTCTTACCTCACGGACCGGTTCCATGTCAGACAATGTAGGGGCCATTATATGTTGTTGTTGGCAAAGTGTATTTTGTTTGTTAGACTGTATTTATATTGACACTTTGGACACTAGGTGGCGGTGATTAGGTGCACATGGGTGTACATAAGGGACGTAGGTGACAGGAAGCGAGGGACAGGTAGGGGAGCACCAGACCACGAAGACAGACCACCGTCAATAGGAGCACGTTCAACCGGTATGTTCATCTGTTTATACAATTGCCTGCAATAAATTACAAACCTCAACCACAATCATCGCTGGAAAGTCTTTTGTGTGTCTGCATCGAAACATCACTCCCACCTGTGCCTGATGGCAAAGAACAACAACAAGCCAGCTAAAGGGCAGCAAACCTAAGGTTGCCATCAGACAATATTTCGCGGACCGGTCGAGAAGGACCGACGGGGGGGTTGTAGTCGCGCGCTCTGTGTTCGCTGGTCGTGCACGGTAAAAGGACAAGAAAAACGCCTGGTGACGCGTAGATTAGAAAACAAGTCAGTTCTCAATGTGAAAAAAACATGCTGTAGGCTATTTATGATGACGTAGGTAGTACATGAGTGTTCCTTTAACATGTTGTCAGTGTGATTGACAGGCTGCTTAACTGGTTAACTCTTCAACATATTTTTTCAGGCAGTGAGAGGACAGGCAATGATGCAGAGAGCACAGGGAGAGAAACACCAGGTCCAATAGAGAGAGAGGAGCACAGAGGAGCCATGGCTCATGGTTCATGGCTCCTCTGTGCAAGGCAGGACCTGACGTGGAGGACAAGGAGGCCCTCTGGGCACTACTGTAAAAAGGAGACTCCGTATGTACATAGTTCTTAATCTGCAATTGTGTTGTTGTGTTGTGTTGACATACTTTTCTTTACTGTTTTCATAGATTTAATGAACTACAAACTACTAACACATGTATTCATTGTCATTGATTGTATATGACTTTTACTGATAACATAATGCAATATAGCCAGGACAGCCTTACAGAGTCGCAACGCTTTGTGTTGCGTTGCTTCGCATCGCGTCGAGGTCTGTATGATCACAAATTCAGAGTTTACCCACCTCTAATTTTACCACTACAGCACTGCATAGAACCACCGTCACATAGAACCACCATCACATAGAATCACATAGAACCACCATCAGATAGAACCGCCGTCAGATAGAATCACATAGAACCACCATCAGATAGAACCACTGTCAGATAGAATCACATAGAACCACCATCCACAGAAGCTTGTGGGAGGAAAAGCACATAGACTTTAGGAAAGGGTAATGTGAGTTTATGATGAGAGTAACAGTCACAGTGATATGATTAATAACTATAATAATAATGATTAAAGCAGCAGCAGGTGTCAGCAGGGCCACGATAGGAGGCAGGAACAGGGTCCAGATAGAACCATGATCCATGGAAACCTGTGAGGAGAGAAAGGACAAATACTTGGAAGAAACAAAGTTGGTGATGCTCGTTAAGACAGATTTGAATTCTTAGAGAAAGAGAGGGAGGGAAGAGGAGAGAGAGGAGCTCGGTGTGTCCTAAGAAGTCCCCCGGCAGTCTAGGCCTATAGCAGCTGATCTAAGGGCTGGTCCTGAGCCAGCCCTATAAGAGTCATCAAAGAGGAACGTTTTAAGGAGCATTTGATATAGTCAGAATAAAACGTTGGTCAAAATACCACAAGGATCATTATTAACGCTTTTCTGCCTGCCTAAAACCGCTCTGCTCAAAAACGCTTGTCTTGGCCACAATATAGAGTGTTGAACTGTGCCTTTATTGAGGCATTGGTTACTTTAGTTGAATACCCAGCCAGCTGCTTAGAATGGGCCTGACCCATGTAGTCCCCATGAGGTGAACTGTGCCTAAAGTCACCGGCAGTGTCACAGGGACACAGACTCATATTGGTCAGTTACAGACGCCAATAAAGACAAAAAGGACTGGACTGCTGCTGAGTGGTCCACAGTGATGTTCTCTGATGAAAGTACCGAGCGGTACGGGTCGGTCGGGTCTGTTAACCATGATTTGTAGAGCGTTTCCACCGCCAACAGTACCCTTACTTGATAGGCGTGGTACATGACGGAAAGTAGATTGACGTCATTCGATCGCGCGAAAACTGAAAGCTAACCGCAAACAACAATGGAGGACGTACAGCCGATCCTGTTCCTGCTTCTCCATATGTGGCTGTTTGTCACAAGGAGACTAAGAGCCACATTTGCCTCAATAAGATGCGTTTGTCTTATAAAAAATGTGTCATAGCTCCTTTAAGTTTCATTGCTGATGACGTCATAGCTTATGTTCTCCAGTCGAGGTTTATCAGTCTGCAGAGCAGACAGTTTTTTGACCGTTGTGCCACGTCGAGCACTAAATGTTTCTTGTAACTAAGTTTTGTGAAGTAAATCTTTTTAAAACAAAGTTGCTGTTTATGAAGAATCATTACGCGCCAAGCTCACGGCCCAAAACGCAGACTGTGACAGTAGTGGTTATAACATCGAGGACGGAATTAAGATTGCCGCTATAGAGACAATCTTTGTTTGAGCAAAGGCTACATGCTGCAAGGAAAAACCCCGTACGGCGCGCGCAAATGACTCAACCAATCAGCGCTCTGCAGTGAGTCTAGCTCCGCCCTTTAGTACCAAACTGTGCCAGGTGCCCCAACGGAAGGGAACCCAAAAAGTGGTACGGTACCATTCTCAACTTTTGGCAGTGGAGACACATAAAAGGGTACCGACCCAACCCGTACCGCTCCGTGGAAACGCACCATTAGTTGTCAGTTAATCAAAATTAAAAGAAACTAACATTGAAATAGATCAGTCTGTGTAATGAATGAAGACACGTTTCACTTATTGAATGGAATTAGTGAAATAAAGTAACTTTTTGATATTGTAAATAATATGACCAGCACCTGTATGGTTAAGATTAGTCATGTTTCACATATAGTTGAAGCCACAGGAATTGAATGGGAAACTTTCTAGGTGCTGCTCTCACGTCAGTGGTTGAACGTTCATTTTGGGGGCAGAAGATCGAGGAGGTGTAAAGTGTAGAAATTGAAAGATGCAGTTGTGAAAATAGTTTTAAAAACTTGGAAGAAACGTCACATTTACAGATGAGTTTTATTCATTTTTTTAAAAAGCAGCAAACAAAAAGAAATACAAAAGAACCTCGGTGAGTCAGTGACCTCGGCACAGTGCCAACATGGCGACTACCATCAGATGAGCGGCGGGGTGGAAACAAACCGAGTCCCCCCAGGGAGCAGCAAGCAACACGTCACATTGCTCAGTGTGCTTCTCTTTACACCATCACACACTTGCATCATACATGAAGCATGTCGTCCCGATTCTCACACTACACACTGATTCTAAGCAGGAATGTGACCCAATACGCTTCTCATGACGCACACCAGAGAAACTCACTACGTTGGATGGATATATATACATTTTTTTTTGTATAATTGATGGTCGCTTTACAGGTTTCATATACACATCCAACACACACATGTACAGTTACCTGTATATGATGTTAACTACATGCTAAAACCGTATAGAAGCATTAATATGTAGTTTGCACCGTGTAGAATTAGTATGTAGTTTGGGACACGCTTGACACTGCATTCATGATCGGGTTCCTTTAGAAGACCAAACCACAACGCTTGAGCCCCCCAGAACCACAGTGGGTGTCTGGTGTGAATAGTTCTTCGGTAGACAGTTCACTTGTCAGTTCCATAGACGTTTTTAATTAACTGGTACACAGGTGGAAAAGGCGGGTTGGAAATACACAAATGGGAAAACTGACTGGAAAATAAGGGGATGAGAAGACGGGCCATGTAATGACTGGACGGGCCAAAGTGAGCCGGGAGCCAACGAGGCAGACAGGTTGGTTTCAACAGGGACAGTTACACATGCAAAGGACAAAGACCGCTGAGCAAAACCCAAGATGTTACACCAGTACATGTCCCACACCTGTCCAGAGTGACTACGTCGCCTGGACACCGCACTTTGACCCCAAAGCATGTGATCTTTTGAATACTGTTAACGTCTGAACAAGAAAATGACAAGAAAAGACTGATATTAAAATGTTGCTGCATGGAGAGCTTCAAACTATTGTAGAGACTCCAGGTCAAACAGTATAATCTGTCCTCTACTACAGACACACTAACACAGGGAGGGACAGACTAACGCATCCTGTACTCTGACGTCTTTGACACCTCACACAGCTGACCCTTGAAGTCGATGTCTACGGTGAAGTCCAGGTCCCTCTGAAACCAACACAACCAGTCAGAACCAGCAGGTGGACGGAATGGGAATTTGGATGAGAGGTGGAGTTCTGCTTACATTGTTCTTGATGTTTGGCTTCATGCTGATTGTGCCAAAGATCTCCTCCCCGGTCTTCACAGTCAGGTACTCATCCAGGTAGAAGACCGTCTGCTTCCAGTGGGTGTAGGGAGACTCTGGGCCTGAGAGGACAAGAAAGCAAACAGAATACGTCAGACTCCTGCAGCCAACGCCAATAGTTATTTTTTAAAAAGATAGTCCTAAAACAATTGAGCTTTTAAATAAGACAGTTATGGAACAACTAAGTATTTCAGAGTAAAAGGTTTTAGAACTACATTGTTGTCAATAGTTTTCGTGGAACAATTGATCAGAATACACAGAAATATATATTAATTATTGTAACACGGTAGAACACTAAGTGACTATCATGTACGAGTAGACGTAGAGTAGAGGAGGAGGAAGCAGACTGACTGGTGGAGAAGCCGGTTCTCTTGTGACAGCGGGTGAACTCGATGTTGAAGTAGGTGACCAGAGCTTGAACGTAGTCGTTCCTCTTCACCTGCAGGCAGAACGGTGAGGTGAAGGTCAGGTCGTCTGCCTTCACCGTGTAGATGTCCACCTCCTGAGGGAGCAAGAAAACATTTCAACTTCTGAACACTGGCAGATTCACTTCTTTCCCAGGATCAGAACACCAACAGCGATTCATCCATCCCCCCACCTTGATGAGACAGGCGCTGCTGACCAGCTGCTTTGGGTCCACCACGTCAACGAGGGGTTCCTTAATGGCCACCTCCTTGATGCACGACATATCGAAACCATACACATTCTCCCACCCTGCAGCAGAAACACAGGAGAGTCCGTTTAATGAAGACATGTGGCTGAGGATCAGTAGTAGAGTTCATGGGTTGACGTAACCAGGCAGATAAACGGTATCCAGGTAACCGCTTGGGTCCATGTTTACTTCCTGTCAGCTGATTCATTCATACACACTGGGACACATTGGTACAGTTTACTTTGACAATGAATGGCCATAGGTTTGGATGCTAAATGTGTGAAGAACAGAACCGCTGACGGACCAGGCCCAGCGCACGAGGGAGGACTACTCACAGTGGATCTTGTAGTCCTTGTACTGCCGGTCTTCGATGGCAGTAACATAAAGGGTTGCCCTGTCGGGGAAAATCATTCCATCTGGCTTCTATCATGGGGAGAAATAAAGAGCATGAGACTATCGCACCCTATGGGTTGATCAGCTAAGTGTTATAATAACGTGGTTTAAATAAGGGTCATGGAGACTCCTTTGTGCGAGAGAAACCGATGCATACCAGCCACTTGTCCCTGGCATAGATGACCGTATTGAGCATGGACTCATAGAAGAGGCAGTAGCCCATCCACTCCGATATGATGATGTCAACTCCCTCCACAGGGAGGTCCACCTCCTCCACCTTCCCCTTGATGATGGTAACAACTGGAGGCAAAGGGGGATCAGGCGCTCCATCACAATGTTTCAAATCCCCCACATTTGTTTTTCATTTGATTTTCTATGAACTCACCATCGTCCATCTTGTTGGCTTTGACAATTTTCACAGCGTAGTCCGAGATGCTGCTGCACTCGATCTATAAAGACAAAGACCCACATTGGAATTAGCGCTTCCCCGTCCTACGCCACTATAAAAAGGCAATGAAACCGCATTAACATGATTGGCTGTGACAGAGCCAACACGTACCCCGATGACCTTCTTGGCTCCAGCCTTGGCAGCAAACATACAGAGGATGCCCGTCCCGCTGCCCACATCCAGCACCACCTTGTCCTTAAACAGATGCTTGTTGTGGAACATGGAATTGCGATAAGTCAGAGTTCGAACCTCGTCCTTCAGCATCTCCTAGAGCAGCAAGGATGGAAAAAATGTATTTAGGTTCTGGTGACCAAGGCACACCGTTTGATAGTGTGAATATAAAAGTGGTTCAGTTTAAAGGAAAGTACCTCGTGGATGCCAAAGTGGGCGTATGAGTCAAAGTAGTAGTCCTTTGATGTCATATCCTCGGCTGCAGGCTTGGCTGAGCTCTCCCCCTGAGAAATCTCAACCAAAGATGCACACAATTACAATCTGAAGCAAGCTTGCTGCGTTTTTTGGAGTTAGTGAGTAATGAAAATACAAAGATGTGGTCTAAAGAATTGCATACAGCAACACCCCAATTCTAGTATTACTATCAATATGTCCATAAGCAGACGGTCTGTCTATGGTGCTGATGGAGCCATGTCCACTGCAATAGTTACAACAAGCAGAGACAATGAATGATTTCTGCTCACTGTACTTTTATAGATGATTTGTTCTGTACAGTGAAACAACCCATTGAGTGTTTGCTTTTTCTTACTGACGGTTAGACGAACCTTTAACCCACATAGCGTGTGTTTTAAATGAAGTGGTTTGATACGGTTACTATTATGCTAAGCTAGTAGGCTTCTTTCCGAGTGAACGACCGTCTCTGAACGCGGATAAACGTTGCACGTGAAGCCCTTTGAGCGCACGCGCGTACCTGTTATCCGTCCTCACGGTACCTGGAGGAAATGCACCCGGAGATGAACGCACACCGACAGAAGCCATTTCACCGCACAGACTGAAGCGCTTGGGGTTAGCGGGCGGCGGACTAACGCCGGCGGGGTCTTCGGGCCGTCCTCCCGCGCAGCACCGAAGATGGAGCACATGGTCGGCGTCTGGCCTTCCTCTCAATGACTGCCTTCTAAACTACGCAGTGTCAACTACGGGCCCACTAGTCTCAAAATGACCGCTAACGCGCCGCCGGCGGGCCTTCACGCGCGCTGCAGCCGGTGACCCGGCGTGACTCGACACAATCCGCACTTTGTCTTCTAACCTGAAGCGCTCGGAGACCAATTCGGGTTTTAGCGTTAAACGTAAATGTAACTGCCGCCAATAAAGCAGGCGGGAGAGCCCGAGCCGGTGTTTGCAGCAGGCTAGCGGGGGGCGGAGAGAACGCTGGAACGAGGCAGCATCCTTAGAGAAAGGGATGGGAAGGAGCGCTAGGCTAACGCGTATGCTAACACGCTGGTCCCCATGCGGTCCATTAGGCCGGCTGGGTGTCGCACAAAGCCAAACAACGTTTCAGCGGACACACGTCTCCTAAACACGACCAGGGATCCTTTACCGACTACACACGGAATGATACACGTGTATGAAACAGATCTCGGGTCGGTGGGATTAGCGAGCCCAGTTGAATGAATGGAAACGGCGTCACGCAAGTAACGTTAAGGAGCTCCGGTTAAGATGGACGCGTCACGAACTGGCGCGAATATCTCGACAAACCTCAAATGTTCACAGAATTCACCACATGTTTCTGGAGAAAACATGGGAATGCGTACGTATACAGTTTACATGGACACTTTGAGTAATATCGTCTTTCCAATTGTAACACCTTACCTCCATCCTCTCTGCTGGCGCCGCCATTTCGGTCTCGTGCCTGCCTGCGTGAGAGTGAAGAGGTCTTCCGTGGCTCCGCCCACCAGGGTTGCCATGGTTCTTCTTCTGCTGTTTGGCTTTAGGGGCTCGTGCCAAGCGGTGAGCGGCTGCATTAGCGGCGCCTCTGTTCGGAGGGTGGATCCGTGATTCGGACCTCAGCTATCCATAAATACCGTTTCTCTTCTCCAACAAAGCAATCCGTCCTGAGCGGTTCATCCATGTTCTGACTTATGAATACGGATTCCACTGCAGGCTGGATGGTCCACTCACAACCATTAGGCTACATGCACAACATTACCATGGTGTGTGATCTTTAGCGTGTTATTTTAAGTATTATTCTATTATAAAGTCACCTATAGACAAACTCCTCCCCAGAGATGTCACAAGCTACATTATAGCAACTCTCAAAGCATGCAAATTATCCACAGCCTACAATCATCAGCCTATTCCTCTTACATCAAGGGACGGAAAAACTCCACACTGACCGAAATTTGCCAACAGATCCTGGATGTGGACTTTAAATATGCTCACTCCCCAAGTACAGGTCTTCCTAAGCAGCGGTTAAGACTCCAAACTGAATTCAATCCTCTATCTACTCATGAGGCAACACGTCTTATCTTAAAATCCACACATAATGTGTACAAAATTTGAGATAAGTCCAGTAGACTATGCAGGCCCGCCAGGTAGCTACCAGCCGCAATATCACAAAGATTGAATCAGACACAGGAGAAATGTTGATAAACAAAAATGACATAAACAACGACATTTTACAATTTTATTCTAACCTTTATGTCCTCAGAACTTAGCGACCACCTCAAACCCTTGTGCACATTCTTTGATAATTTGACTATCCTTACCCTATCAGAGGAACAAAACGCCAACTTAAGTACAGATATCTCAGTTGCTGACCTCATCATGGCCATACAATCCATGCAGGACAACACGTCACCAGGCCTGCACGGGTGTACTGCGGAATTTTATAAAAAGTTGGCACCAACTCTTAAAGAAATGTTCAAAGAAGCCCTCTCCTTAGGCACTCTTCCCATAACTCTGAGACAGGCCTGCATATCCCTACTGGCTAAGAAGGACAAATATCCTATCTACGGTCTTAGCTAAACGTCTGGAGAGTGAGATCCCACCTGATCATACAGGATTTATCCAAGGCCGACACTCAAATTCACAAAAACTATTTAGTGCTGTCCATTCGGCCTCGTCAGAGGTAGTGATTTCGCTTGGCGCAGAGAAGGCCTTTGATCGAGTGGAAATACTTATTTGCTGTCCTCCAAAAATGTGGCTTTTCTGAGGGATTCATTGCCTGGAATAGATTACTTTACTCCTCCCCCTAGCAGCTGTAATATCTAACAATACTCAACCTGACTACTTGAACAAGGCTCCTCTCTGGTCCGCACAGCCATTGAGGCCCTAGCAGAGGGCACCTCTGTGGGGACTTTAAGGGTACACCTCGGGGTGATTTAGAGCCAAAAGTCTTTCTACGCGGATGATTTGCTGCTGTATGTATCTGCAGCTGTATCTCTTCCCCGTATTTTAGATATCTCTAATCAGTTTGTGTAAAATATCAGGATTTAAGCTAATTTGCAAAAAATAGAACCTTTTCCTCTAAATGCTGAGGCAGAGGCTCTCCTTCACAGCCTTTTCCCTCCAAGGTGGCATTAAGTGCCGGGGGGTTGAGGACACTCACTCCTTCCATTCTACCTTAGAGAATAACTATATTACCCTTTTGAATGAATGCAAACAGGATATGACTCGCTGGGCCTAATTAGCATTATCATTAGTGGGTCGTGTTAACCTAGTTAAAATGATAGTATTACCAACATTTGTATATCTCTTTCAAAATATTCCTATCCTGATTAAAAAATATATTTTTTAAATCGCGATAGAAATATCGGCTCAGTGGTCTGCGCAGCCCTCCCTCTTCTCAGCAATAACCTGAACACAAACAGTAAACCAGAATATGGGCTCAGATTAGGAGACAGTTTGGGCTGCAAGGAGCCTCCATCCACGCCCCCATTAGATTGAATCACATGTTTATTCCCTCCTGTGCAGATAATGCATTTACTCTATGGCTTGATAAAGGGATCAGATCGATCCATCATTTATACATAGAAGACACCTTTGCTTCATTCACCAAATTATCACAAATCTATGATCTACCAAGGAACAATTTCTTTCGCTACTTGCAGATCAGGAGCTTTGTACGAAACACTTTTGGTTCATTTCCAATGAAACCCCCGATGTAAAGAATGGCCAGCAGACCTGACACACATGTTCTGGCCCGAAATCCTCCGCCTATGTTTAAAGCTTATATTTGCAGTCCAATCTGACTGGGACCCAATTTGTGCACCATTTGGCTTAATACCAGAGAAAGTCCGTGGCCGCTTATCAAATAAAGCCAGTGTGGTCGTAGCTTTCACAACACTCCTTGCTCAGCGTTTGGGTTGGGAATGAGGTTTTAAATCTCAATTATAATTGCCCTCTGACATGTGTGAATCTTCTTCCCTGCCGGGATAAAACTGTGAAAACCAATAAAACATATTTAAAAATATATACTGTATATTCAAAAAAAGTCACCTATTTTCTCAACCTATCTGTTCCGACCATTGAGTATTTTCTTTAAATAGTGCCGACACCCTTACTTTAGTTCAGTTTCCCACTCTTCCACTGCTTCATACACGTTACCTCTGCTCTGATCATTTCATTTAATTAATTTGACTTGTGGAAAGGACTATTTCCCTTCAAAATGAAATGCAGGACGTGTTTGACATACATTGATTCATCTTGTAATAGACTACTTTGAAATACACTGTTGGAATTTAAGGATCTGTTGGCTGGTGAGAACTGAATCAGAATTTGGAGGAGACATTAAAATGTTCCCTATCGATGTTCCTCTTCCCAATGCATAGCCAAACTTCCAAAATATCCAACTCCCAACTAACAAGATGTGAACAACACATTTTTAGCGTCTTTCTTTTTTGGAAAAGAAAAGCCAGTCGTCAGTTGTCTGATGACCGGAATCTTTTTCATCCGTCTTGAACGTATTAAACTTCAGCAGGCATGTCCATCACTGGTGTTGAGTATGGCTCAATAACTACCCTTAATCTCAATTTAATATTAATGACCCCATGTCCTCTGCACAGCCGGCTCTTTGTCCTGCGCCATGTTCCAGGCCCCTAAATACACTGCCAGATTACTTTCACCGTTTAAAAAAGATGGAACAATGTTCATTTTGTTGTTTCAAACATGACTCTTATGAGATTTGCATCGTGTTAACTTCAAACCCACTTAACAACACAGTTTGCTGATGAATATGCAGAAAACACTGATGCTTTAAATCAGAAATAGAAATGCTACCATGGGAATCAAGAAGTTAGCCAGTATAGCAAGATCCAATCCCAACCTCCCCCCTGAACTCTAAACCCTGAACCCCTGAGGACTTCACCTGGCATCACCTACCAGGTGAGTGTGAGAGTCTGTGGGGGCTTTAAATGGTGTACACGTGTCACATCACCCAGACAACATTATGACTTACAATTGAGGGTATTTATTCAACATGTTTTACTCTCTGATTTGAGTATCTTTCAGGCTCTTTCCTTATAAAATGAGAGTTCCTTTAAAATAGTGTTTCACATTTTTTTAATCAATATTTTATATTTCATGAATAGATGAACAAATATCGTCCGATTTCATGTGTTTTTTTCACCCTCTTTGATCCCTGATGTGGGAGGGAGTCTCACAGTGATATTCTGCAGTACTTCACGAGGTCAAGGGGAAATCAGTTCACGTTGTTTTTCAATGTAAAGGAAACTCTAGTACAATGAACAGGCCATTGATACACATATGGTTGAGATCCATAATGAATTAGTCAGGGGACATACATTATGAAGACAGCAATGTAAAGCCACAGCCAATGGGAAAAAACAAACTTAACCAGTGATGAAAGCACTCAATCTTCTCCTCCGCCAATTGGTGAAACTGACATATAATCCAATGAATGGACAACTGTACTACAAAAACCCATCAGCATTCAAATACACGATGAACCGACGCGCACCCTCTCCTCAGCGCATAATATGTTAGTCAAGGAAAACGGTCGAGCAGAAATCAATCATTGATGACGAACATGCATGTCAATTAACGGAGCGCAATGCCAGAGCTGCAAGGGACTTTCTACACAGTGTCCCTACGAGTGTCCCC